AACCATGGGATACTACAAGAGCACGGGGAAAAACCAAGGAGACTTCCTGGTGGACGAGAACGGCCAACGCTGGTTCTGTACAGGAGACATTGGCGAGATTCACGAAGACGGCTGCCTCAAAATTATAGGTGAGGAGAGTGTGTCAGATACACTGTTTGATAAATGACCTTTTATCTCACACGTCTCAGACTCAGGCCTGGGGGCCAAATCTGGCCCACAGTGTAATTATATTTGGCCCGCAACTTTATCCCAGTTTTTAATTTTTGCCCAGTGTGAATTTTGAGTTTGACGCCCCTGGTTTATGTTATAAAAGCGTGTAACGTCTTTGAAGTTCACGTGCAGTGGCATCAAAACACAAATTATCAGCAGCGTTCCACACATTCCTAGATTTCTTCCAAACGACCCCCGTTCGCTGCCTCCATCCATCATGGTGGCATTAAACCTTTTAACAAATCAGATTTGAGCTCACTTCCCAGAAATACTCCACTGTATGTGTGCCACAGCCTGCAGCTTCTCACTGTTATCTACATGACACTGGTCAGATATATGCAGGTCTCTCCCTTACTCCCCCCTTCCTCTCATTTAAAGATACATGCACTCTAGGGATGCCACTGAAAAGTTCATGACTTTAAAAAAAAAAAAAAAAACGGCCAAAAAAGGATGTTGTGATGACGCAAGCAAAAACTGTGACCATCGCGGTGAAGATCATTCTCTCTATTCTCTACTACACTCACACATTCTTGTGTACTTACATGGACACACACACACACGCTTTAACTGTTTAACTGTGCTGTGTTCCCAGATCGTAAGAAAGACTTAGTGAAACTGCAGGCAGGAGAGTACGTCGCCCTGGGGAAGGTGGAGGCCATGTTGAAAAACTGCCCTTTGGTCGACAACATCTGTGTCTACGCCAACAGGTGGGTGTTTGTGTGTTTATCTGCTGAGCAATGCACGACACTGCAGTGTTCAGAAAGAATCTGGTGGGATTAAGTGTCAGTAACCTCTGAAAGAATCTGGTGAATTTAAGTTTCAGTAACCTCTGAAAGAATCTGGTGAAATTAAGTTAGAAAAATTTAAATTAGAAAAATTACATGATTTTAACACAGTATGGGTATGGGGGGGTCCTTCACAAGCACTTCTTTATAAAGTTCAGATTTTTATGTTTGTTTTTTTTTTAATCTCCCTGCTCCATAGTGATGAGACGTATGTGATTGGCTTCGTCGTGCCCAATCAAAAGCATCTACTGGCTCTGGCTGATGAGTACTGTATCCATGGATCATGGGAAGAGCTGTGTAACAGCAAGGTCATAGAAGAGCTGGTCCTCAAGGTCATCACAGAGGCTGCCATGGCTGGTTAGTAAAGGAACGACTGCATCCGTTCTCACTGATGTTTTCCTACAGGACTCCTCCTAGACCTGTAGAGGGGGCTGTGTGCAGACTTACTTGCCTTGGTTACGTTTGAAGTAACTGTTGAACTTTCCTCTACTGCAGCTCGTCTGGAGCGATTCGAGATTCCTCGCAAGATCCGTCTGAGTCCAGAACCTTGGACTCCCGAGACTGGATTAGTGACTGATGCATTCAAGCTGAAACGCAAGGAGCTGAAAACACACTACCAGGATGACATAGAGAGGATGTACGGCGGAAAATAACAGCGAAGGCAGACGCATTGTAATTCATCACTCACTACAGTCAGACACACTCCACTGCTCCCCTGATCCTCCACTGTTTTCGACACAACTAATGCAGAGCCACACTTGCTTGAGCACGTGTTTAAAATGTAAAAATATTAAAGAATAAATGACGATGTTGCAATTTGTTTTGCACTTACTGTTTTTGTTTTGCACTTACTGTAACTTGTCCACCACGCTGGAGTCTACTATTTATGCACCCAGGTGGAGATCTTATTGTTCCAGATGGGAGTTGCGAAACAGATCATGGGCTGCAAACCAACACTGGTCACAACAAGAAAGAAGTTGTCATGGAATGTAGTCAGTAACTTAAAGCATTTGACTTCACAGAGTAAAAGTCCTTTGGTCTAAATGTAACTATGAAACATAAGTCAAATTAGTGTTGATTTGTAATTTATGTTTAGTGACATAACATGATCGGGTTCTTGACGTGACATCACAGACGTCTTGGTCTTGACTATAATACTGTGGTCAACAGTGCTGCCTTCTCACTTTAATATTACACTAGACACACTTGTTTTTGTGTAAAAATATTTTCTTGACCCAGTCCTGACACACGTTTCATTAAACTGTTTTTTTTTATCACCCTGTAGTTCGAGAGATGATGAACTTGTGTTTATCTTTCCATTGTTTTGCTCTTTTTTGTTTTAAGATCTGTCAGCAGTTTATTTTTTCTACCACCCACAGTCAGACACAGACTTCTAATATCAGACTCTCTCCTCACATCAGCACAACTTGAGGCCAAAAATGCAAAAGTCCAGAATGTGATTCTTGGTTTCAATATAAACTGACTGTAGTCTTCTGTAATACAGGATGTGTTATATCATATATTATATATACTATTGAGCATAGAACATGCAAATGTGATATTGGTGATGAGGTTAGGTTATATTTCATAACCTATTGTCAAACTGTATACTGTGTTCTACTGGTGCCAAGCTAATACTGTGTACTAAAAGAAAAGTGAAACAACTTTAATAAAGAAAACTGTTAGTTCACCAATCAATAACTGCCTCCGGATGAAAGAATTGGTAAACAAGAGACACCTGCAGGTGAGAATTAGTTCTCGTAGTACTTTGAAGGAGCATTAAAAATTCAGGAAAGGAAACTTCTCTATAAAACAAAAAGAAAAAATGTCCTGAAAAGAGAGAAAAAACACTTTATAACTTCCAACATGCAACAAATGAAAGTCTACCATGCAGTATACATGCAGTATATTTGGTCGCACATAATATCGTGCTACTAAGACTAAGTAAGAGAAACAAACATCTGTCGTCTTTGATAAATCACAGTGCAATATGGGAAAAAAAGATTTATGACCAAGTCATAAATGTACTGCTGACATTGGGTGTGCAATACTGGACTTTTTCAGGGGAATCTTATTGGCCTGTCGGCTTCGGCTAAGCACCGGCTTTTACAAGAAACCTCTTCTTGTTACTGCAGCAAAACACACACAGTGTTACACACTTGCTGTCGTTCCATGACACATTTGGTAAAGGGAGGAATGAGAAGAGAAATCCACTTAGGATAATCCTCACTAATCTTCATATGTCACTAATTTATCAGCAATAATCCTTGAAAGCTGTGTGAGACTTATCTTTCCTAGTCAGAGCATCACAGCAGAATCAAATCCACGACTCGTCTGTAAAATGACGCTGTAATCTACTGCACAGACCTACATCATTGGGGCCTCGAGATACGAGTTTAACCCGTTCCACGACAGCACTCGTATCTCGATTGCATTTTCCACATTAAAAATAAATTAAAAAACAATGTATTTGTCCCAGCCCCGCAGAAACATACTATTAATTATTTAAATTAAAATTCCCGCCATCTAAACATCAAAAACATAGATATAAACAAATATACTGATGATATAAAATAATAATTATTGTGAAAACATTTTATATTATTGTTATAAAAATCTGTAAAATAACAGCGAGGGACAGTGAGTCGGTTGAGAGCTCGTAACTCGATGTTTCCTCTTGCAAAAAGTTGCTTAACATTTGCTATACAAAATAATTTAGGGTATAAGTTTCCCTGCAGCCATATATGTTCTTTAACATTCTGGCTGCAGGCTGTCATCTGTTACTGCAGACTCAGTTTGAATTATTACTGAAGAGTCACATCAGGAAGTCTATCTGGACAATGTTTTGTGTAGCCTTCAGTCGAGAGAGAGCCCTGAAGGAAGGAGGGGTCGAAGGTTTGGTTTTTTTCCCCTCTCCTATTCCTTAAATCCAAACAGAGCTGTTGAAGCCAACTACTTAAAATGTACTTTTAAAAAAAAATCTACTTGTAATTTTCACTGTGTTTGGATTTGCTGCTGTAGTACATCTTGACCAGGTCTCTCATGATAAACAAGTTTTCTTCACATAAATATAAACAAATATAAATAATACTAATAATCCTAGTGAAAGCAATGCTACAACAAGTGGTTAAAAGGTATAAATATTGGTCAAAATATATTCAGAAAAGAAGTGCAACTACACAGATTTATATATAAAGATAAATTACAGGTTCAACATCTCACTGATCGGAACTCAAACTGATTCAGTATCCAGTAAATTTCCAGTAAATTTCCAGTAAGTATGTGTTTTTATATTTTTAGCCTGTTGTGACTTTAGTTTAAATACATCAATGTTCAGTAAATGGAGATTTCCAAGAGAATGGAGACGAAAACTGAGCTGTATCCCAGAGACCCACATTTTTCCATCTCATCTGAACTAGTAACTTTCCACTAGACAATCACGTGACGTGTTTTTAGTCAAACCTTGGAGAGTTCTCCCGGTGGGATGTCAGTCTTTCATCAGAAATATAAAGATTTACTGACATTTTTATTACGGCAATTAATTAAACTACGGGCTTCCATGGCTACAGCGCTCTACGGACCCAGTCACGTGACCGATGACTTGTGTCCAGTCCCCCGGTATAAAAAACTTCATCCATTTGACTGTTGCCAAACAGCACAGGAGAGAGAGAGGGAGAGGAAGAGAGACACCAAGACCTACTGCCACAGGACTGTCAACTCAGTAACAGTTTGGTGAGTTTTCTCAAAGTTTATAAGTATAAACTATATAAAAGTTTATACTTTTATATAAACTACTTAGTTTTGTTGACTTGCATTTTCCTCCCCGAACTGCTGGGAATGTATTTTGTTTAGGAATATAAAACTTCGCAATTAACATGTGATTTGTTAAGACCAATTAGAGCAGGGTCATTTTGTAATAAATAAAGGGTATAAATCAAAACTGAGATGAGAATAAAAAAAACTACTTTTTTTGTTTTACAGGAGCTTCACAAAAAACAATGATTCATTTATAAAAATGCCCCTTAAGCCTTGTATTCGACATTAATGTATATCTTTATTTATTTTGCAGCCTTTAATTTTTTTCTCACTTTTAAAGATATGCTACGATAAAAGAAATATTTGGTAATTCGTCACTTTGAATAGACGAAAAAAAAACTACTTTTTTTGTTTTACAGGAGCTATTTATTTTGCAGCCTTTAATTTTCTTTTTAGCTTTTAATGATATGCTACGATAAAAAAAATATTTGGTAATTCGTCACTTTGAATAGACGAAGCTGAAACCGTAATCTGTGTTTATGTTTTTAATTGAGAAGAAAACATTATTTGGCACATGTTACCACAAGTACTAACTTGTAAATATTTACGTACATTTAAAAATACCATCGGTGACAAAAATGAGTTTGTGTTCGTGTTCAAGTTCTTCAGTTATATTTTATGGGGACGTTTTACTTGACAGTTTCCCCCTTATATTCACTTGTATACTTTTTCTTTTTCAGCGTAGTATTACGTTCCTTCTAATACTTTCTTCCTAAAATGGAGCATCTGAGAAACTCCACGGCCTCTCCCAGGAGCCGTTTCTCCGGCCACTCGCAGAGCAGCACCAACCCACCAGCGGACAAAAGTGACGGGAACGCATATCTCTACATCCTCATCGTCGTGTGTTTCTACGGGGTCTTCCTCTGTGGAATCATGCTCGGTTACATCCGCTCCAAGCGCAGGGAAAAGAGGAGAACCAACGTCTTTACGCGCCTGGTTCACGAGGAGGAGCAGCGGGAGTGGGGCGCGCTCCCTAAGAAGAACAGCCTCATCATTCCCGCCGCCGCGGTCACGGGACTGCGGTCGGTGCAGGTTTCTCTGCCGTTCTCCGTTCACCATCACGACAGGTTTCCACACAGCCGCCGCTGTGAGGACGACGTGCTGCCGTCGCCGCTTGCGTGCGCGCTGTGCACGGAACAGAGCAGCGTCAGCTCCCTCTGCTCCTCCGCGGACACGCGCGTCGCCATCGAGGAGGAGTCTGATTGTGGTGCGGCGGAAGAGAACGTGAAGGGAGGCTCAAAGAAGAGTGGTGATGACTCAGGCTGAGAGGAACACTAACGATAAAAGAAAAAAAACACCCACAGAGACGCGAGGGCGAGCGTTTCTACCTTTTTGAAAACTCCCCCAAATCAGTCCACAACTCACTTCCTCAGTGACAACAAAAACACTTATTTTGCGGCACAGGCGTTTAGGTGAGACTGGGGCACCGTGTTCTGATCTTCCACTTAAAACAAAGGCTACGGAATGTTGCTTTGCTAAGTCCTCACTTACAATTTTTCAACATAGAAGTAGTGATCGTGTATCAAATATGACCGTTTAAAGGCTGCATAATTGCACGTCACTTTAAACCAGTGGCCATTAGCATGGATGTGCTAACGAATATCCTAAATCAGGTTGCCTGCAGCCTTTTTTCATTTAACAAGAAGCGTCGCCCCCTTGTGGCTAACTCCCAAAACAAAACTGAAGGGCTACGTCCAGTGTCTCAGACACAAAAGGGCCAAAGGTCAGACCAGTTGTCAACATGGCTGATGCACCACCGTGATGTGACAGTGTCTTTTCTAAAATACTGACATTTAAAGGATCAACACTATTGTGATTTAATGGACCGGGATAATTCACTGAATTGTAGGGTTCATTTTAAAAAGATTTTTTTTCTTTTTTCTTTAGTTTCCTGTACAGCACAGAAGTAGTGATTTAGAGACAAACATGGTGTGCCTTTTTTTTTTTTTTTTTTGGAAGAACATTTAGTCATAACAATGTCAATTTTGTTTTATCTAAAGTCGAGAAAATAAACCACAGTAGCACAGTACTGCACATCTTGAACTCTGCTTCATTTNCCATTACACTGAGATGCACCTCATTGCTTTGGGCTGATGACTCACTCTGCAGAGACACAGAGACAGAAGGGTTGGGGGCAAAGGGAGAGGACTGAATCGGATTTGTTTTTACCTGGAACTCACTTGAAAGATTCAAACACAGAATGTGTTTGTCGAAGCTCCTGATTGGACAGGCTGGTCATCACACAGCTGGACACGAAACGGTTTACTTGAAAGAAAGACATGCACTGTACGTCGGGTTTGTATTTGACACTGTGTAAAGCTTAACTTAACGTGGGGATCTCTGTAACGTCTCAGATTAAAACGGAAATGTTCATGAACACAGCTTTCTGTTTCCTCTTTCGGTGTTGTAGTCCGCGGTACTACCTGTAGGGGGCAGTGCTGTAGCGGCCACTGGTTTCCTGACTGCCTCTAATTAAGACATGATGAAAGTGAGATAAGATGCAGGGAGGAAGAAAGTCTATTTTTAACACGCTTTTTTTTTTAACAGAACACCTTTGGATAATCAGAACAAATCAGAATAATACGACAAGTTACTACTGAGAAACGAGTTCTGTGTTTTTTTCACATTTGTTCCAAATACTTCCAAATATTTCCAAATACTTCCAGACGAGTTTTCATTTACTAAAATAGAGATGAGTTTTAAGTGCTTAACTTTTTAAAATCAGAGGGATAAAGTTTAGAAGTACTATCATCAAGGTGAAAGGGACTAAAGGGACATTAAGAAAAAAAAGTTTCTGGTGCTCACCTGTAAAATTCAGGTGCAGCATGTGAAAGTTTTCGAGTGCACGCAAGAAACGTTTACTTATTTATTTTATTATTTATTTATTGTCATGTCGCTTTGGGGGCTCCGTATCTAGTGTCTATTTGTGTAAGGAAAATCAATTTGTCAAGCAACATTGTCCTCAGTTTCTGGCAAAATATGGAATTCAATTGCAAAACAAATATATCAAAAAATAATCTTAAATTTTGTTTTACTTAAACATTTCCAGATGTTATATTTGCCTCACCCTGACTTATTTATTTTTCCTTGTCTCTCCATCTGCAGCCTTGTTTCCCCCTGAAACTATGTTTTATTTTCTGTCAGACAGTCGGACTAACATGAAGCAGTCACTCTGTGTGACTGTGTAAATACCATACCAATAAAACTCAGTGAATGCATTAAATGTCATTCAAAGAGCCCATTTGGATTCACAGGCCTATTTTAATGAGCCGTGTAACACATGCTGACGTGTCGACGTGATAAGGACTGACAGGCGGCGACAGTGATTCACAGTCACTGAACACAGGAAGTCAGGTTTTTGTCCTCGGCCTTGGCTTATCTCTCACTTCCTCCCTCTTCCCATCGCACACTCACACAAACACCAGCGGTGGCTTTCATCTCCTCAGTTGGCTGCGTTGAAAGCTCACCACGTCAACACAGGTAACAACAACAACAGCCTGAGGGAGCATACACGTAAATCTAATGATCCAGAGTGTAAACAACACTGACAAGTGTGTGAGCTCTCAGCTACATATTTCTCCTCTTCTGTGAGCTGCAGTGAAGCCACACGTATTTCCCAAATTATTAACCCAAGAATTAACTTAAAATAAAAAAACAATAGAAATTTACAGCACAACCAGCCCTAACATGGAGATACAGACTGTAATGCTGTTCATTTGAACCAAATAAATGCACATTTGGTGATGATGATTCATCGGTTAAATACACTATTCTATAGAGGAAACCACAAGTGGCTGCTCAGTCAAACACAGGCAATAAAAGTGAATGTAAATTATTAGTCACTAAAATAAAATTAGACCAGGAAGAAAATAATGTAAAAGATGAAGAAAAATGTCGTGTTCAGCAGCTGAATCCTGACACTTATTGTTGTGACTAAGGTAATTGTGGTGTACACATATACATGTATGTATATGTGTACATGTATGTGTACATGTATACAAAAGTCATAAAAATCATATATATACTGTATATATATACACACTTCTATAAATATACTGTATAATGTGATGAAATAATACATGGGTGATATAATATACTGCAGGCCTACATACATACATATATACATATATACTGTACATATATATACATACATACACACATATATACAGTATATATATATATATATACACATATACATAAGTATATACATATATACATGATGGTGTATTGTATCTATTCTTATGTTATTCCTGATGTTTTGGTGCCATACATACTTATATACCTGCACACACAGACCCACACACACATATATAGTGTATATATTAGCAGGTATAGTATATGTGAGAAGACAAATGTCCATATTTGGACTTCTGTGGAATCAGCCTAGAGACACTTCTCCCCATCTTCCCGACCAGTCAGCACTGACACGGCCGATGTCTGTCTAATTGTTATTTCCTCCACAACATAAACACACCACTAAATTATTCATGGGCGACAAAAACACACGCAACAATACAGCAAACCACTCATGTAATCGTCGCGCGGGGAGTTGATGAAAATGCACTACTGCGTCTCAGGCAATAAGCGTGGGGGGATTACTTTGTCTACAAGCTTCCTCCACCACTAAACAATGGATCCAGGGCTGTATCTGTGTCCCTGGGTCTGTGAGATAGTGGAGCAGGAGAGCAGGAGGGGAGAGGCGGTGGGGGGTTTGGGATGGGAGTGGGGGGGTAGGGGGGGGGATTCTGAGAAGAAAGAAGGCCGGGTGAGAGAATAAGATGCAGCTGTGATGCACACAGAGTGTCTGCTGTTGTGTAAAGCAGGATGTTTGTCATTAGTGTCGTCCTGTGGGAGTCAGTAGTAAGGCCAGTGTACCGCCTGGGGTCAGACACACAGACACACACAAACCATTAATGAGTCTGAAAATGAGTCATCTTAAAACCCACCAATCACTCCATCTCCTTTTCCTCTCCTCTTCCTGCTCCTTCTTACTGTCTTCTCCTCATTTGTCCTCTTTTCATTTAGAATATTGATCAATAAAGAACATCTCAGGAATCTTTTTTTTTCCAAAGCTTCCATAGAAACTATAACTATTGTTAATATAAAGGTCAATACTATTCAGAGAAACCTTTTGACCTGGTCAGTGATCACTTCACGAGAAGGTGACACAGGTTAAATGCAGCGTAGACAGAGTTATTATCCTGTGGGACAGTGGTCTTTAGTTAGAGTGTAGAGAGAAGAAGAGGCTGGATTCTGTCTTAGGACAGAAGGTTGTTTGAGGAAGTGATGTGAATCTGTCACTGACTTGACTGTGTGGGCTGCTGAGGCTGAGAACCAGCGTCAGACAGGCCTGACTGTTTCCCGTGAAAACGAGGCTGTGACTGATAATAACGAAGAAAACCTGACGTTAGATTCATGACAAACAGGCTCAAAGAACTGAAACGAGCACTTTTATAAATAGATAACAAAAAAAAAAAAAAAAATACGGAGAAAATATTCTGTGCTTCATTTTGCTTTAGAAGAAACAAAAACACACAATGTTAGCACTAATGTTGCTAAATTTGAACAACAACCAGGGGTCAATGTTGTACTAATGAATGTTGCCATGGAAACCAAAGTCAAAGCCCAGTGCACAACTGAGGCGCTGGTCTGTAGGGATCACTGCTGTAAAGACAGAGGCTCCAAGACGCCGCATCAAGTCACGAGAGCAGTCACTGGCTACGTTATGTACGAGGGTGAAACTACATCAGAGACGGACGGCAAACACCCGTCAGAGGGGAGACACTCCAGGTTGAAACTGTCTCCAATTTCTCCCTGTTTTAATCTGTTTATATGAATAACCAACATTCTAATAGTGAGCCATGAAGGAACGACCAAGTTCAGAGCAGGACTTTCAATTTTGATACATTTATGATGCATATAGTTTGTATCTTTAAGACAACTTAAATTATTTTCCAAATTAGAATCAACCGTTTTTTTTAATCAAAACTAATTTAAATCTATTGTTTTTGACTCTGGACCAGGCGTGTCCAACCCGTGGCTCGGGTGCCACATGCAGCTCTTTGCCTGGTTTCACATGGCTCTTATGTTTATGTCTCTCACAGTCATGGGCGTAGTGTAGGGCTACCAGATTCACTCTCAAAATGGCAGGGAAAATATATTTCGAACGTACTGGCAAGCCATTCTGCCTTACATGTCAGGCGTCATTAGCATATTTCAAGGCTTCAAATCTTCAGCAGCTCTTCAGTTCACCCCATGCTAACATCGACCAAGGGAACTTATGTGGCTCTTTGCTGTGACACAGTAAATACTGTGGCTGGATGACCACGCCTGCTCTGGACTAATACATGCACATGGACAATGTTGTTCTATGCTGTTCTACAGTAGCTCATAGCTTGACTTTTTTCATCTTCTGCTAAAGCTAACTAAATATGTCTTTTTGCTCTCCTATAAACAGGCGAGATTTTTTTTATTACGTATTTAAATGTCATAGTGGAGGAGACATCATTACTTTTCTAAAACACTACGGCTTACAGTAAGTGAAGCATGTGGAGTGAGTGAGCACATCTACCCCACATGTGACATCAAACCAACAACTGTGTTTGAAAACACTTGGTCACGTGTTTCTTAGCGCCTCACGAGTCTCAGGGAGGATTTGGCTCCTTCCTACACGGTCACTAACGAGCACAGATCGACTCTGGGCTTCGTTCACACGCTGCAGGAATACATCCGTCCAATCAACTGAATATTTGGGCCGCGCCGTTTCCTGCTAACAAACCCCGAGGAGCTGGTCTGATTCTGTGATGATGTCACACTGATGTTTCTACAGCAGCGAGAGGAAGAAGAAAAAGTTCATCTTGTTTCTGACCAGATCCTTTTAACGCCAGACTAGCTGTGGGTGTTCATGCGTGTGTGTGTGTGTGTGTGAGTCACACAGTATTTATGAGAAATGTACTCTACTGCGGCGCA